CTGCAGTGCGTGTCTCCAGGGAAAGCCGTTTTTATAGCTCCACTCTTCTTTGGAGTTGGTGTGTATATTCTTCTGTGTCACTGTTTGCATGATTAAATAATCAGAAAATAAGATGCTAGTGAATGACTAAACTGGTGTGTTGATAATGAGGATATATATGATAAATGTCATCGTGAATATAAAGCTGCAAAATCTGTATTGTGAAGATATTTTTAAAATTTACATGTACTTATATTGTCAGAAATTATTATTTAATATTTTAAGAAACCTAACAAACCAAAAAATTATCCATATAATGTTAACTATAAAGTTAGGTCTTTTTGGGGTATTTAATATACAGATAGTCCCCTACTTAAGAACATTCTACTTATGAACATTTCATATATCGTCACCTTCATAAAATAACTGCCTAAGTCATTTTTTGGCGATTTCTTGATTTTTGCCTAAGTCAGTTCTTCTTGATGTGGTGCACCTATTGATATTCTTGCTTAAATAATTTGTTGTACATCTATCAAGAAGTTTTAAAATGATAAACACTGCACTGATATCAAAATTAAGAAAATGAGAAAGTTTTTTTCGATTTCCCAAAATGTTGAAGAAATGACTTAGGCAATTATTTTATGAAGGTGACGATATACAAACAAAATTTTTTAAGTACGAAATTCCAAAAAAGTGTTTCCCGGGCACGAATATAGTTCAAGAGTCTGGTACTGTATAAGGTATGTCGTACTTATTGGGATTTATTTACAGGTATTCTTAATGTAAACAAAACTTTAAAACAATGGAAAAAAAGGTAATTGAGACCCGACTTTTGACATACAAACAAATCAACTTACAAACAGCCTCTCGGTCCCCATTATGTTCTTAAGTTGGGGACTTACTGTATTCCTTTTTTTGCATATCCATTTATAATTTCCTAGGCCATATAAATGTAGCATCTAAGAGTTTTTATAACAAAGCCATTTATGAGCCAGAATAGTTGGTATGCTATGTTTAGTCTTAAAGTATTTGCTTTATTTTGCCAAATGTTTCCAGCTCATCTTCATCATGCTGTTGATCGCCTGCGTTTGGGAATTGATCTTCCATCTGTCATTTTACTATCATGTAAGTCATCCCCTTTCATAATTATTAAAATGTTTTTGTTGTTTTTAGAGTAAGAAATACCCTTATTTGGCATTAGGATCATTATTTGTGCATGTTGTTAATATTCCTTACCCTCTAGCTTTATCAGTGTGAATTTGAAAATAGTTGTCTTTATTCTGTTAGATTGCTAAAAGAATTAGTCCTATTACAATGAACTTAAATTGCAATAGACTTTTTGTATAGTATGGTGACTGGTAGGTAATATTTTTATCATTTGTAAAACATTCATTGTAACTTAAGTAGCAATAGAGAAAAACATTAAATTGGTTGTAAATTGTTTTCCAGTCAATTAATTTGTTAAAATATAAGCTACTTGTTGCAAAATAGAAATAGAAATTGGAACAGAAATTAAAGTCTACAAATGGCCTAAAACAGCTTCTGGCAGTTTTTCCATTGTATCAACCCATGGTGACTTGTAACATGATATTACATCATGATGAATAATCATGGATGATGGATTAAGTCTTTATCATGTTACGAGACTATGATCAAGTTGCCAGTATAAGGTCTTGTTGCATGCTGTTGTGAGCTATACAGTTGCCCAGATGTGTAGCTGTACACACTTATAAACACCCATTTGTCAACCAACTTTACTAAAAGAAAATTGCTGTCATTATTGAGTTAATCTTTGAGTGATGGACTGTTAGATATACAACAAAATAAGTCTTTGTGAATTGTAATGGTGAAAACCTTTCCACAGGTTTCCAGTTCCTGTATACTTCAGTATTTGGCTTTTATTCTGCATTTTTGTTTATTAGAACTGGTAAGTACCACTTACAGTCTTTACATTTCCCTTTAGGCTTTTCAGATAAGAAAATGTAATTGCTTCTTAAATTTACAAACAGGTTGTATAAAGAGAATTATTAATTCACCAATGTATTTTGATTTGAAAATGTTATATAAATAAGATTGAGAGTATTATATTGTTTGTTATTTCATCTTATTGTTTACTCTTATTGTTTTTTCCCATTCGTTCTTCAGGCCACTTCCTGCCCCTATTTGCAGTCCATGCCTTCTGCAACCATATGGGGCTGCCAGAAATGAAGGAGATGCTAAACAAACCTACCCCTGTAAGAAACAAGTTAATGGCTTTCCATGTCCTGGGTCTGGTTGCCTGGTATTTCCTGCTCTATCCCCTGACTGAACCTTCACTCTACAGCAACACTCTCTATGTCTTATGAAGTTAAAAGAGGCAGCTTAAGTTGATAATAGGAGCACTTTAGGTCTAATGCTCAACTAGTTAGAATGTTGTGAGATCTTTTAGACCATAATGATAGTTGTTGCTGCTGATTTTTGGGGTTGTCAAACAAGAGCATAATTTCTCACTAATCAAGAATAGTTTAATATCTGTGTTGTGCTACTAATGTTAGGACTGTAAGACATAATGATCTGAAACACAGATTGGTTAAGTAGTGCAATTTTGATGATAGGAGGTGATGGATGAAGATACATCATCTATACTCTTATATGGAAAGATCTGAAAAAAGAAAACCTTTTTTCTCTTAACCAGATAGATTATGCACATTTAATGATCATTTAGAAGCAGTTGTTCACACATTTAGGGTGAAATAATTGTTGTTTATTTATGCCTGAAGGCATAAACATGTATATTGTTTTGATGTAAGTGTGCATGGGTGTTTGTGTTTATATATGTGTGCTTGTTTGTACTTCTGTCATATATTTTACATTATATTTGGTGTCCTTCTTTCACTATTTGTAAATTATGAATAATTGCTTTCTTCTGTTAAGAATATTAATTACAGATTCTGAGCAAGCACTTGGATGGGTCCTTGGATCATGAAACATTGTGATGACATGCATGAGTTTTCTCTCTGTTAGAAACTAGGTCCCATATATTGGTCAATTTTAACTTCATTTGGTGTATCTGTGAATGTGGTATTATGTATCAATATTAATGATTTTTCACTAGGTTTGCATAAAATGTATTAACTTTTGCTCTTTCAGTTTGAATGTGGGCAGTGTATTAACAAAAATGTTATTAGATTTAGGATCTGAATTTTTGCATCTCCCTAACTTCTCGAACACTTGATAGTGAGATGCTTGTTCATAAATCACCTTCAATTTTCCAGTACTCGTGCACACATACATGTACAAATGCATTTGCTTATTTTGCACACAATCACCATGTACACAAATTTATTTTTTGTTCAGTATAAATGAGCCTTATTTAGTAGCAGTGTCAATTTTAATGAATTAACAGGATGTCTTATATAAAGAACTCTAATTAGAATATCTAAAATTTGGAATGGATTCGTATTTCAGAATTATTTCATCTGTTATGAATTAATTACTTCCTATGCAAAGTAATGAATTAAACTCTTTAGTTTATTGCATACATAATCTAGATTTATTTGCTAAATTTTAGATTGTTCATTTTGGATTTTTTAAAAATGATTTGTCTATTTTTATTTCTTCATCTGGAATTAGGATAATTTCTCAATCAAAAATGTGAACTTTATACATTACTGAAAAATGTCACTGTTATATATATAAGAGCTCATATCTAAAGTGGTTACAATAAGCATGGAGTTGATAAACTTTACTATGCTTACAGTGGAGAAAAGTTGCATGAGTAAATTATGGATTCTGTTTTAATCTGGTGAACAAATGTCTGAGAATCATGATAATGATGGAGTCATTGGCTTAGAATACCTTACATCTTGGTATTGTTATGGTTGGAATATTTTTAAAAGATGATTTAGATATGAGGATAAGTACAGGGAATTCTTGGAAATGTTTCAGAAGAACAAAAATTTCAGGATGACAGTAGTACTTAAGAGTTCAGGGTAATGCTGTATATTTCTTGAGGCAGGGTAGGTGGAACTATTGCCATTAAATAGCTTAAAAGAAAGGACAAAAGTGACAGATGAAATTGTTGTTTGATAAGAAACATACGGTTTATGTTCTTGCTTCCAGTGTTCCAGTGTGTTTACTTTTGTGCCAAAGCCACAGCTTTGATTGTTTTCCTGGGGATAACTTGAAAAGTAAAAAGCTGTAATACTGAACAGTAAAATGACAGTAAGTAATAATAATAATATGACCATTCCTAACCAATAAACAGAGAGGAAATCTTAAGCCTTGCAGTATGATTTGAATGAATATGAGTTATTTGACTGTAGAAATTGTGAAAGAAAGTAGCCCTCACTATTGAAGATTATTCATAATGAAAATCTCCCTAAATATATTTATTTTTATTTAATATGATTTTATACTGAATATACCTTTGTACTTCAAAAAATATATTACAATAAATTTTAAAATAGTGTAATAGCAATCAGCTATAAAACACATTTCTGCCTCATATCTGCATCTTAATAATATTTAGTTGTAGAACTCAGCTCTGCCTCTTAACTCCTTGACAGCGAAGTGTCTCTATCTTGGATTTTCCCTCTGTGTTAAGATGTAATTCATATGAGATAAACATATGTGGACTGAAATTTTGAAAATATGGCCTTATTTATTTTCAGAAGCAAATCTAAGTGTAAAAAGTACAAAATGCTGGCAAATGGAATCATAGTGATGTTTCAGGAAACTAAGGATGGTAATATAATCTTGAAGCTCAAGTAATTAAAATTCAAAACTGCATCAATACTATAGGAACAGCTATTTTTTAGAATGAAGATTTCATAGATGAAAATCAGTCCTGTTTGCTCGTCTTTCTGTTGGTGCAGCCTATATGCATTTTATTTTTTTATGTAGAAAATATGGCCATATGTTATTTAACTTGCATGAGCCACTTCTTTTTTGCATGTTCATGATATTTAACTTTTACCTAAATTCTGCTTTATACTTTTTTCTATTTACATTATTGCCATATCTTTTACTTTTTCCAAGAA